AATGGCATTCTTTCATAGGGTTGTGTGCTTTTTATGACCTTGCTATTGTTAGGATGTTAAAACCTAGATTTATTATCGGTGCATGTCTTACATGATTTGGTGATTTCTTTCACATCCTCTACTGAGTAGGAAAGGTTTTTGATTTTCATCATGTGGACCATCTGTGTAACACTTGGGTGGCCCACTCACACTGTAGTTTCATTAACTCTTCTTTGCAAGCAACCGAGCTACGTACATACAAGATTGCGTCCACAGCTGTGTTTTCTTTACCAGGGCAATATATTATGCTGAACAAGTAACATGAGAGTTCCATTCTCCACATGGTTATCTTCTCATTTTTAATTTTGATTTTTGTTTTCAGGTTGAACATGAATGAGACTGGTTTTTGGTCTGTAATTAGTTTAAAATGTCGCCTGATCAAATAATGCCTTCCCTTTTCTCAGCAATTCAACAATGGCATAGGCTTCTCTCTCTATTGCAGAATGCCTACATTCCAATTTAGACAGGGTTCTGGAGAAAAAGGTTATGGGCCTCCCCAACTGTCTTAAAGAGGCAGCTATGGCTCATTCTGAAACAATTAGTGTATAATCTGGCATAGTAATGACTGCTTTTGCTATAACTCTCTTTAGCTCTTTAAATGATTTCTCTGCTATGGGAGATAACAGGAAGTTTGATACTGTTGTTAGACGGTAGATTTTGTCTGAAAAAGACAAAATCCAATGTGCATTCATAATGCACAGCATGTAGCAGGTAAATCTTTTGGGTCAGGTAGATTGAGTAATGGATTCAGATGTTCTGCATCAGGTTTTATGTTATTTTTATGTATAATATACCTCAGTAATTTTATATTTCTATGTCTAAAATAACATTGGTCTTGGTTGAGTGTAAGCTTGTATTTTTTTAACAGCCACCATGAATAATTTAAAAATTTTGTCATGTTCCACTTGATTTTTCCCACAAATAGTTATATTATCAATGTAAGCATAGGTGTAGGTTCTCTTTTGATATTATCAGGTCTATCACTCTTTGAAAACTAGCTATCTTGTTAGTCACACCAAACAGTATTCTGCGAAATTGAGTTTGCCGCTGGCCTTGAAGGCCATATAGCGTTTATCGCTAGGCCTGATGGTAGGCACTTTTAAGGTCCAGAATATTAATTAGACCATTTTTGGCTATTTTCACTATTATATCATCTTTACTTGGCAGAGGGTAGGCATCCAGCAAAGTAAACTGGTTTATTGTTTGGGCTCGGGCTCTCCACGGCCAATGACTGGATTCAATTATTACTTCCTTCAACATACAAGTAACTTCGGTTTGGATAAATAATTTATTGTCCTCAGTGTTTCACCTAGGTTTAGAAGCTACCAGTTTACAATTGTTGAAGAGAGCTGTGTACAGCATTCTCATAACTGTTAGGCTACAGACTTTAAAGGGATCATCCAAAAAGTATTTCTACTGATGAGTGTTGGTGTAAGATGTTGCGCCCTAATATTATGTCACAGCATAGATCTTTCATTAGTAGACATCTTATTTCTTGGTAATAGAGTACCCTTTACTGGTAGATCAACTGAACACTATCCAAGTATCTGTATGGAAAGAGATGAGTTAGCTATCATCACTTTGTTTAGGCCAGATAAATTTTTCACAAATTTAGTTTTGCAATGCTTGTGTTAAGAAAGCTTTCTGTGTTCCCCATGTCAATCAGTGCTTTTAGTGACTGTTCATTAGTTCATTTCTATTGTTGTAGTTGATAAACTGCCAAGTATTTTCAATGATGCCAAACAAGATACTGTTTTGCTCCCCTTTTACTTACTTTTACAAACTTGCTTTCCATATGTATAGCATTTTCCCTTTCTAGCAGGGCAATAATTGTTGAAGAGAGCTGTGTACATGTCTCTTGCCAACCACAGAAAAACCATGCATTTAGTTAAGGCTGATATTTTTGGAGAATCTAACAATTGGGGGGCCAAAATTTTTAATGTAGATCCTGTCCAGTATTGTTAAATCCTCTTCATAGGAAGACATGTCTGGGAAATACTCGTAAACTTGTGCTCAGATATATTTGGTAAGATAGTGTAGCTTATTAGAACTTTGGTCACAGTACAGGCTCAAGAAGTTCATGAAAGTTACTCTCCAGTGACGATATTCCAGTTCAGACATGTTGGGGTCAATTAGTTTCTCTGAACAGAGAAAATTAGCTATTTTCAAAATGGTAAACAATGAAATTATATCAAAGTAGAATTGTTCTAGACAATACATATCACATATCAGTAAGCTTTAATATAATCAGTATTTACCCAAGCTCCCCATAATATAGGATGTGGCATAAGGCTAGTTCAATGTAGGGCTTTCTGAGTGCATGTACTCAGGCAAAAACTCCCTGTAGGCACCACATACACAGAATTGGGTGGCTGTCTACTTTCCACAAACAAGACTCTGCCTGTACACATAGCCTCATCTGAGTTCCTCTCCACCCAAAAGCAGAGAGTCCAATCAACAGAGCTTTGATTTACTCATTTATCCATGCTCCCCACAGAGCATGATGTAACACTAGGCTGGCTTAACAAAGGAGTTTCCAATTTAGGCTCAGGCAAAAATTTCCCATAAACCCCATATACAAGAGGCCAGGTAACTTTCCACCTCCTCAGATGAGACTCTACCCTTTGGCATAGCCTCGTCTGGTTTTCTCTTCACCCAAAGGCAGAGAGGTCAACAAGCAGTGTATCTCAAGCTCAAAGGTTTGGGGTACTCTATTTACCCAAGATCTGGGATGTGGCACAAGACCGGTTTAACATGGCGCTTTCTGAGCGCATATGCTTGGGCAAAAATTCCCTGTAGACCACATATACATGAAGTCGACTAGCAGTCTACAGTCTGTCTCCTCAGACGCGACTCTGCCCTTCAACATAGTCTCATCTGGGTTCCTCTCTATCTGGAGGCAGAGAAGGCGATAAGCAGTGTATTCCAAACTCAGTGGTTTGGGATACTTTGTATTTACCTGAACTCTCCACAAAGCATAATATGGGACAAGTTCAGTTTAATGTCGGTCTTTCCAAGCCCATAGACATGGACAAAAATTTCTCGTGTATGTGGTCGGGTAGCTATCTACCACCCCAGATGAGACTTTGCCCTTTGTTCAGAGACAGAGAGGGCTACAAACAGTATATCTGAAACTCAGAGGTTTGGATAATCTCAGTAGTTACCCGTGCTCCCCACAGTCTAACCACTTTCGCCCCAGCCCCTCAACCTCCGACGTCTTACTCTCTGGATTGAGGTGTCTACTCAGTCTTAACTGAACTTAAGGGAATGACCATAGGTACCCTGAGCATCCGTAGATCATTTGACCAGTCCACTGATTTAATCCTGCTTCCTGCCCACATTGTGTTTGGTTTGATCTAGAAAGCAGAAGTGATGTTCATCCATTCATGGTCGACTGGAGATGTAGACAGGGCTGGAAAGTCTGTGCTAAGAAATTTAGAATGCACCAAAAAAATATATATCTGCAGTAAGCCGAACAAACAACTATTCAATGGTTGAATTGTTAATGTCGTTTATATAGCAAAAAAGAATAGTATAGAAAAGAAACGTGTCACAGAAAATAAAATAATTGACGTAAAAACTCATACACTGGATTTTAGACAGAGATAGAGTCGGTTGTGATTAGCTTGTTGTGTAATCGTCTCAGAACAATATGCATCTCTTGATTATTGTAGCTTGTTCGACGTTTCCATTTCCAGTGGTAGTAATGATAGTAGCAGTAGTAGTAATCTTCATGGTAGCAATAATAGTATCAGTAGTAGTCTTAGACGTTGGAGGAGTAATTCACTTCTTTGTACTTATATCAACAAAATATGTTAGCAGGCATTTGGTTCCAATTCTCTGATGTCACTCCCAATGTGCGACCTCTCTCTCCAGCTCAACTGCACTCAACAGCAGACCAGCCAACCACTCTTTACCTCTTCCGTCTCTCCTGTAGCACCATGACCCATAATGGTTGCCTGTGGGTGCTCACGCACGTGACAACGATGTGCTGACTGATCGCGGTCTCTCCCGTCTGTCTGCACTCAATGGCAGACCAGCCAACCACTCTGTCAACAGATTTCTGTGCACGTTTATATAGATAAGCCTGGCTGATCACAAATCGACTATTGATCCGCACGCGATTATCATGAGTGTCACTGTCAACCCAAAACTATGTGAGTTTCAAAGTTCTCATAGCCTGAGTAAGCTCTATTTCAGTTTTAACCAACAAAAGTTATTTCGGTCATTTTTTCATTGTCTTTTCTAATGACCCAATTCCAAATGGGCGAGATCAGGTTTCCCTCAGTAAACAAAATTGTTCTGATCTAATTTTGCTGTTCAAATCTACTCCAATTTCAATAAAAAAATAAAATATATATGTGTGTGGGTGTTTGTGTGTTTCCCAAACTCACTCTGTCACATTTCCTCCCCTACCCATCTCTCATTTACCAGTAAATTACACACGAGCTTTCCTATCAGCAAAATATGAGAAAACCCAGTCCAACATACTTCTGACTGGGGTCTACTTATATGTCTCTTCCAGCATGCAAAGGTAGAGTCCTCAGTTCTTCTTAGGGCTCATTATGCCTATTTACATTTTCATTGTCCTTACGATAGATATGTACATGCGACTTTCAGTTAAATTTCACCGTTGTGGTGATCTCGTGCAGTAGAACCTTTTCACATAGTTCACTAGTTCAAAGATTCTTTCCTTTTTTTTTCTTTCCATTATTGGAGTTTGTAATACTCCTTACCAATTATTTCAGTCTCATTACGAAAAAAAAAAAATTTCGATTTATTTTGTAAATCTGTCCCTCCAATTTTGTCTCACCTTCACAACAGGCTTTGTTGAATCTTTTGTTGGTTCAGGTCCTTCCATGATAATCGTGGACTCTTCTTCAATATCAGTTAGGGGTCCCAATGCCCTCAGGTTGGACCTACCTTGGTAAAGTGCACTAACTGGAATCCCTCCTTCACTCATGCACTCCCTTGCCAGTTTATTCTGCCTGGTCAACAACACCGCATACCTCTTCAACCACCATCAAACCAGCAAGGCCACGACTATCATTAGTATAATTCCCACAACTGTCGGCCAGGTTATTATAGCAACCAAATTCTCTCTCCAGCCCGAATTCAGCGTACCTATCTTATCTTACTCCGACTTCAACCATCCAAGATCAATCTTATCGATTGGCCTTAACAACGCCGGCATCTTTTCTAGCAACATCTTAGGAATCTCTCTTACAATGGATTCCCACAATTCCATCCATCACTGGCATTCGTTCTTACCAGCTCTAACAAAGCTCTTCAAACTTCTCTTAATTGTTCAGGAGTTATTGTACTTGGAGACAGGTGTCCCAGCAACAGCATGTCTAATTGTGCTTTCACATGCTCTAACAACATCACTAAAGAGTGACTTGTTTGACACACCTTACTCATTAGAGCTAATAATTGAAAATACTTTTGCAAAAAACCCTCTAATTTCTGTAATTCGGTTGTTACAGACGTGGTTACATTTATCACTTCTTTTTTAAAAACCTGTAGGTGAGAAATCAACCAATTGATACTCCCTCTATTCTTAGCCAATTCCAGTCTAGTAACATTGAGTATAGATACACTCTCTCTGACTCAGCCATTGCTTGTTGTCTCTGTTCTACCACCTTTAATTTTCTCTTAATTACTCTCACTTCGCCTTCGGAGACTGTACCAAACAACACTCTTAATACCTTTCCAATTATAGGTAATACTACTCTCGAATGCACGCTGACAATCCTCGGTCCACTTAAACCTAGCATGCTTCTTAGTTAGAGCTATTAGAGGGCCTGCTCCGGTAATATCCGATGGCTCCAATAAATCCCCTAATCTCTCTTACGGTCTTCAGTGCAGGCATGGCTCTTATAACCTCAGCTTTGTCTAAATCCTTTTTTATTCCTTCTTTGTTTATGATAAATCCTAAATACTTTGTCTCTTCTTTCATAAACTGACACATAATTTTAACTCCGATCCATGTTCCCTTCTTAACCTATCGAAAACCTTCTGCAGATATTCAAAATGCTCCTCCGGTAATTTTGAAAACACCATGATGTCATCTAGATATGCCATGGCAAATGCCTCAGTGCCATTCAATACGATGGGCATTAACTGACTGAATACACCCAGAGCATTTGCCAGCCCAAACGGCATAACCCTAAAACTGAAGAGGCCCATGTGGCAGGTAAAAGCAGCCTTTTCCTGATCCTTTTTGCTAAATGCTACCTGCCAATATCCTGACCTCAAATCCAAGGTGGAAAAACATTTAGACTTTGCTAAAAGCTAGAATATCATCAATTAAGGGGAGGGGCACTGTCAGCAGTTTCGTAATGGTATTTAATTGATGAAAATCCACACAAAACCTATGCCCTCCATCTTTCTTTTCAACAATTACTATTGGAAAACTCCAGAGAGATTTGGATCTTTTGATCATCCCTGATTCCGTCATTTCATTCACTGCATCCTCTACTAATTTTCTTTTGTGGATTGGGGTCCTATATGGTCTTAACTTAGACATGGGTAATTACCCACCTATTATCTCCATTTCAAATGTCTCCGTCTGTCCCAGTTCCTTATCAGTAATGGTTATTACCTCCCGATTACTGTTCAGCAACCCCCTCAATTTCCTCCTATAACGCTCAGGGGCTGTTACATCTTCATCCCTTATTTCATCGCTACCTGTCTTATTCCCAGGCCTATTCTCATCCCATGCTCTCACCTGTTCAACTTCACTCACTGGGCACGCCTGTGCTAGCTTCTCTCCCTGATTTATTTTAATAGTTTTATTGGCAGTATTGGTTAACAGTAAGGGAACGGTCCCTCACCTCTTCACCAATGAATCACACATGGTTATTTCCCCTTCACTATTATCATACTTATCAGTAGGGACCACTTGGTACAGGTCACTGTTCAGCACTCCTGTTATAATCTTGCCCTACCCAGATACAGTAATCCTAGGGGGAAGCTTTATATCTGTCTGGGCCACCACTGGCAATTGTTCATAATTATCCTCTCCCAACAGTATCCCTACCCCATCCAATGTTCAGGTGGCATGGTCGAAACGGATCTCTGCCTTATTCTGCCTAAGCCAGTCACTCCCCAAAATTAGCTCACCACACAAGTCAGGTGCCACATAAACCTTAAGTTTACCTCTGGTTCTTGCCAACTGGAAAGGTAGCCACGTCATACCCTCTATCCTCATCCTGCTATCAACCTAACATTAGTAGACCGACGGGACTAAGCTTCGTTTTCAGTCCCAACTGTCTAAAAACATGGAGCTAACCAGTGACACTGAAGCTCCAGTATCAACAAGGGCCTTCACCTTCTTGTCTCCCAACAACACATCACAAGTGGAATCTGGCCCTTCCTTCAGCAAACGGTAGACCTGTGCCTTTCTTCTTCCCGTATGTTTTCTCCCTTCCTCTCACCTTGTCGACAACCGAGACGTGGGAGTCGGTGACAGGAGTTCAACTTTTTCTAGTGGCTCCCATTTCTGTCTAGGGGCCCTCCTGGGTGGCGTAGAGCTCGGATGACTCTCTTTTCTCGGACTAGCAACCCATTTCTCCTCTCTATTCAAGTTAGGGTTGTTTTGTTCGGTGTGGTCCACCTTTCTCCTGCAAGGACAGGTTCATCTCAGGTGACCCACTCCTCCATAGCACCAAGACCTTCGCTTCTTACAACTTGCCGAAAAATGCCCGACCACACCACATGTCCAACATCTCAGAGGTCTTACTTGCACTGGGGCCACCCTGCCTCTTACTTTTTCACGGGTGACTCATTGGCGTTTCCCAGACCTTTTCCCTTCTCGGTAGGGGGCACCAGCATATTAACTCGCTTTATCCCCAGTTTACGGTCTCTCTCTGCCGTACAGCACCGAGCATTGTGCCTGAACTTTTACAAGTCATGGCAGTTCGCCCCAAAGACCTTCAGGTCGCCTCCATAGTTTGTTGGACAGTCGCAGGCCCGATGCCCACCATACTTGCAAGTCCAGCACACCATTCCATATTGGCCCGGTGTGGGCTTGTGAAACCCATAATGCAGATCCCAGGCTCTCCTATTGGGAACTACCTAAGCCTCCCAGTCCTCTTCCACCTCTTCTTTCGGGTCCTGTATCTGGATCTGCTCCCGGTCCTTCTTTTTCATCAATACTTTGGCCCCTACATATACCCCCTCTTATTCTATCCCAGTCATTTGCTGGTCCGAGCCGCTTCAGAACATTGCCCCTCAGGTCCCTGTCACTCAGTGTGTCCACATACACATCAGCCAACAAAGCCTGAATAGGACCACTGTCCCGAGTCACCAACTCCGGAAAAGCTAATGCCGCTAGCCCCGTGATTCTTTCTCCCAATTCCTCATTAGTCTCTCCTTCTTGTTGCTGCAGCCAGAATAATTTCCTGATTGCCTCAATGGCTGTACGCACACTTGCATATTGCAGCACCAGAGTGGATTTAAGATCGGTCCACGTCAGGGCTGGGTTTTCTCTGTACCACCCCACTATAAACTTGGACACCTGCTCCGCTGCGGCATCATAAGCTAAGAGCACCATTCCTTGGTCCAAGAGAACATAGATACCTGCTTCTTCTGAATGGACAGAATCCATTCGTGCAGGTCTGCAGTGTTTCCTTTATAAGTAGGTAGCTTTATGTTACCTATCAGCCTCCTGAAACCCATCGATATTTCGGGGACTCCCATGCCCCCAAGGTCATCTGTGGCATTTGATCCTGCTACACTCATCCTAGCATCTTCTTAACTACCACTTTCAATGACAGAACAAAAGGAAAAATACTTAACACAGTGGTGGCGCTTCAGCTATGTACAATGTCGACAAAAACAAGATCAACAATATTACTGGCAGATCTAAGTGCAATGAGTGAAAAAAGGAAACCAAAAAGTGACTTACCTGAAGTCCACCGCTCCGTGTTTGGTTTCTTTTTTCTCGTTCTTTTGCTTCCTTCTTGTTATGGGGTCCACCCCTTTTTCATATAAGTGGACTCGACCAAAGTGTTACTTGGACTGCTGCCATTAAATACCCAGAGTCAGTCAGATTGAGAGATTGAGTGATAGTAAGAAGACTGAGATTGTGATTGAGTTGGAGGTAGAGTAATAGTGTGAGGTAACCGCTTGTAGAAGTCAGTTACAAGCACATAGACTCTAAGGAAGTCCTACTTCGAGACTGTATATATCTATATGTTATTGCTACTAACTGCGTTCCTGGATTTACTAACAGTATTACCCTTTATATTATTGTGTAAATACATTTTATTTCTTATATTTAATTCTTGCGTTTGTCATTCATTGGAGACCGAATTTCATCTCGGAATCCACAACAAATTGACAACGAAGGTTCGAACACATGCGGAAAACAAAAAATTAACAAAAGAAAAATATTCCCTCGTCCAACAAACAAATTGGCGACGAAGATTCAAACCCAAGTGGAAAAGAAAAAATCAATAAAAGAAAAATCTTCCCTCGTCGTCCAACAAGCAAATTGGTGTCGAGCGATTCGAACTCACACGAGAAGAAGAAATAGAAAAATCCTTTCCTCGTCATCCACAACAAATTAGCGATAAAGAGTTACGAGGACTAAAAATACATAAAATTGAGTTATCATCGAAGATTTTAAAATATTTTGGTAGAACTGATAAAATACCAAAATGATCAACAATTACAACTACAAGAACGAATGGAAGGAAAATGGCAAAAACAATTAGAAAGACAACTAGAGCTCCAGGAACTAATATTGAAAGTAGCGGGCAACAAGCAATTAGATATTGAAAAAGAAGCAACTTTTTCACAACACGCAGTGTGGAATACCATAGAGATTTTCAAATATTCTCTAGATGAGGACAAAAATTTTGGAGATTACTTCAGAAGACATGAAGATATCTTTAATATCGACTGTCAAAATTGGACAGAAGCAAAAAAGCTACGTCTATTGCTTAGAAAATTAGGTACTGAAGAATACACAAAGTTCGTGGATTATATCTTGCCAAAAAAGACGAACGAATTAACATTTGACGAAGCAGTGACATGTCTTAAAGAACTCTTCAGCCCCAAAACATCACTCTTCCACAGGAGGTGGAAATGCCTTAACCTGGTAAAGGGCAATAATGAAGATTATTCCACGTTTGCCACAATCGTAAATAAACATTGTGACGACTTCAAACTAGCAGAATTAACCCTGGACAATTTCAAATGTCTCATCTTTGTTCAAGGGTTAGTTTCTACAAAAGATAGCGAAATGCACATAAGAATGCTTGCAAAATTACAAAATGAACCGGGTCTAACATTACAGCAATTATTGGAAGATTGCCAGAGATGTCTAAGTATAAAGAAAGACACAAAGGACATTGAAGAATCAGCTGTTTCTCATATACGTAAGTTTAAAAAAAGTCTACGTTCTTCACCCTCCCTGGAAAGAAAACTAAAATTTTATGACAGTGAAAAAAGATTCTCACCCTCCCCGGAAAGTTAAAGAAAATTTTATAATAAGAGAAAAAGTACAACATACAGGACAAATTATGACGAATATCTAAGTAAATATAAGCCCCCTCCATCAGCATGTTATCGATGTGGAGGACTACATTGGAACAAGGATTGCCACTTTAGATATAAATACTGTCTTGAATGTGGAAAAAAAGGCCACAAGGCATCCCAATGTAGAAATAGAAAAGATACTAATAGAATAAGAGCTACAAGGATGCATGACGATGACAACACCAACATAAGGAAATATGTGGAACTGGAAATTTTAAATAAAAAGATTAAATTACAACTGGATTCGTGTTCCGACCTCACGATAATCAACTCACAGACATGGAAAAAAAACTCAACAGACCTACCATGTTACACACACAAAAAAATAATGGAAGTTGGTTACAGGCAAACGAATAAAATTTAAGGAGAAATAATCGTGAATGTTAAATTTCATTCGAAAAAAAAAAAACTGAAGATATACATCATGAAAGATACTGAAAATCTAGTAGGTATCGACTGGATGTAGAAGTTCAACGTTTGGGACCTACCTATCAACTCTTTTTGCAAAAAGTTAGAGGTTGAACCATCAGATACTATAAAATTGAAGGAAGAATTATATAACCAATTTCCTGAGGTATTTTCAAGCGGGTTGGGACGATGCAACAAATTTAAGGCCAAAATAGAATTAAAAGAAAACGTCCAACCAATTTTTAAAAAGAAGCAAAATGTACCGTTCGCTACTATAGAAAAAATAGACAAAGAATTGCAGAGACTTGAAGAAACTGGGATTCTATCAAAAACAGAGTTTAGCGAGTGGGCAGCGCTGGTGGTTTATGTAAAAAAGAAGTCAGGAGAAATGATTCAGATGCCAGATTTTTCGACGGGACTCAACAAGGCGATAAAAGACCACCATTACCCACTACCGAGCACAGAGGAGATATTTACAAAGCTCAACGGCGGTAAGATATTTTCAAAAATAGACCTTAGTGAGGCTTATCTACAAATTCCAGTTCAAGAAGAGAGTATGAAAATCCTTTGCATTAATACACACAAAGGGTTGTAGAAATTCAACAGACTACTATTCGGAGTAAAAGTTGCACCAGCAGTTTTTCAGCAAATGATGGACACAATGCTCATGGGCCAGAATTTCGCGACTGCTTATCTGGATGATATTCTAATTAAGAGCGACAGTGTTGAAGAGCACATATCACACATAAAAGAAGTTTTCAGAAGACTTCAGGACTTTCAGTTCAAAGTAAAAGGAGAAAAGGGTGATTTTTTCCTAAACGAAATCCCCTGATTATCAACTATAAGAGACAAAAATACTAACTCCCCCCAAAAAGGGATCTAAGGAGGTGTGTGCTATGGGGTCCACCCCTTTTTCATATAAGTGGACTCGACCAAAGTGTTACTTGGACTGCTGCTGTTAAATACCCAGAGTCAGTCAGATTGAGAGATAGTAAGAAGACTGAGATTGTGATTTAGTTGGAGGTAGAGTAATAGTGTGAGATAACCGCTTGTATAAGTCAGTTACAAGCACGTAGACTATAAGGAAGTCCTACTTCGAGACTGTATATATCTATACGTTATTGCTACTCACCGCGTTCCTGGATTTATTAACAGTATTACCCTTTGTATTATTGTGTAAATACATTTTATTTCTTATATTTAATTCTTGCGTTTGTCATTCATTGGAGACTGAATTTCATCTCATAATCCACAATACTTCTCTTTTCCTCCTTATGTCCCTTTTAGACCAATATAGTCCGAAGACTAGAGTCCTTTCTGGTCTTACTTGGTCCTGACTGGACAAAACAAATGCAACCTTCTCTCCTCTTTCAGATGGTCATGGTAATTTCCACAGGTCTATCCTGGTTATGGCTACCAGTCTAACCACTTTCGCCCCAGCCCCTTAACCTCCGACATCTTACTCTCTGGGTTGAGGTGTCTACTTGGTCTTAACCGAACTTAAGGGAGTGACTGTAGGTCCCCTGAGCATCCGTAGATCATTCAACCGGTCTGCTGGTTTAATACTGCTTCCTGCCCACGTTGTGTTTGGTTTGATCTAGAAAGCAAAAGTGATGTTCATCCATTCACGGTTGACTGAAGATGTAGATATGGCTGGAGTCTGTGCTAAGAAATTTAGAATGCACCAAAAAAATATATATCTGCAGTAAGCCGAACAAACAACTATTCAATAGTTGAATTGTCTTTTATATAGCAGAAAAGAATAGTATAGAAAAGAAACGTGTCACAGAAAATAAAATAATTGACGTAAAAACTCATACACTGGATTTTAGACAGAGATAGAGTCGGTTGTGATTAGCTTGTTGTGTAATCGTCTCAGAACAATATGCATCTCTTGATTATTGTAGCTTGTTCGACGTTTCCATTTCCAGTGGTAGTAATAATAGTAGCAGTAGTAGTAATCTTCATGGTAGCAATAATAGTAGCAGTAGTAGTAATCTTCATGGTAGCAATAATAGTATCAGTAGTAGTCTTAGACGTTGGAGGAGTAATTCACTTCTTTGTACTTATATCAACAAAATATGTTAGCAGGCATTTGGTTCCAATTCTCTGATGTCACTCCCAATGTGCGACCTCTCTCTCCAGCTCAACTGCACTCAACTGCAGACCAGCCAACCACTCTTTACCTCTTCTGTCTAGCTCTTCCGTCTCTCCTGTAGCACCATGACCCATAATGGTCTCCTGTGGGTGCTCACACACGTGATGATGATGTACCGACCGATCGCAGTCTCACCCATCCGTCTGCACCTGACGGCAGTCCAGCCAACCACTCTGTCAACAGATTTCTGTGCACGTTTATATAGATAAGCCTGGCTGATCACAAATCAACCCTTGGTCCGCACACGATTATCATGAGTGTCACTGTCAACCCAAAACTATATGAGTTTCAAAGTTCTCATAGCCTGAGTAAGTTCTATTTCAATTTTAACCGACAAAAGTTATTCCGATCATTTTTTCATTGTCTTTTCTGACCCAATTCCAAATGGTTTCCCTCAGTAAACAAAATTGTTCTGATCTAATTTCACTGTTCAAATCTACTCCAATTTCAATAAAAAAAAAAATAAAATATATGTGTGTGGGTGTTTATGTGTTTCCCAAACTCTCTCTGTCACAACAGAGTGGGATGTGGTACAAGGCCAATTTAATCTAGGGTTTTCCAAGCCCGTAGGCTTGAACATATATTCCTCCATAGATCCCATATACATGAAGACAGCTAGCAATCTACAGTCAAAAATGAAATTATTCGTGCACCCACCAATTTTGAATATTTTTATCCATTTCTCAGAATCTAATTCCCATATGATGCCAGGTTTTTTATATGTTAATAAGCACAAAAAACCAATGTAAGACTCAATTTTCAGAATAATAGGTTAAATACAACAAATTTGACAGGCAAATTATGCAAAATAGGAAAAGACAAAATTATTCGTACAGCATGAAAAATAGAAAAAATTGAACTGTACCTTCCCAGATGAGACTAGGCCCTTTGGCATGGCCTCATCTGAGTTCCTCTCTGCTCAATGGCAGTTGAGGTCAACAATCAGTGTATCTCAAATTCAGAGGTTTGGGACACTCAGTATTTAGCTGAACTCAAAGCAAAAGATGGGATAAAACCGGTTTAACGTGGGTCTGATCAAGCCTGTAGGCACAGGCAAAAATTCCCCATAGACCCCATTTACACACAATCGTGTAGCTGTCTCCCTCCCCAGATGAGACTCTGCCCTTCGGTATAGCCTCATCTGGGTTCCGAAGCTCAGAGAGGTCTACAAGCAGTATATCTGAAACTCAGAGGTTTGAGATATTTGGTATTTACCAGAGCCCCTGACAGAGTGGGATGTGACATAAGGTTTAACATGGGGCATTCCAAGCCTGTAGGCTCAAGTACAAATTCTCCATAGACCCTGAATACACTGGGTTGGGTTGTCGACCTCCCCAGATGAGACTCTGCCCTTCAGCATCACCTCATCTGGGTTCCTCTACACCAGAAGGCAGAAAGGTCAACAAGCACTGCATCTCAAACTTGGGTTTGGGATGCTCTTCATATCAGTAGTATTCTCCTAAATATACGCATTCAGAAAAGATTCATTAATGGGGGTGATGTATTATACCACAGTATTTACAAGTCTGTTATTATATCTGCTAATAGGATGTTGTTTATTACATTTTTATATTCTTCATCAAATATGTAAATCAGGCAATGCAAATATCCACATCACCCAGAAATATAAAGGTTTTATACCCCTTGTAAATCTTGTGCTTTTTCTATATCTTGTTTTATTTTTGGTTTTTCTTTGCATCCCCCTCTCCCTACCTGAGTTCTTGATATGCTTCTTTCTCTTGCAGGCTCCTATCTTGCTCAGTGTACTCAGGGTATTTTTCTTCAATTGTTACATCTTCATCAGATGTTTTGAAATCCACTTGCCCGTGTTGACTTTCCGTAACCAAGTCTTCATTGTTGGTCTACAAGATCAAGTCTTTGTCCTTCTCTCATCATAATCTCCTTGGGGCCTTATTTGTTCAGCATGGACTACTATGCTGTTCTCCATGTTTTGCTATAATGGCCATGTTGTTACCTCTTTGCATTATAAAATTGACCCTTTCTGAAATTCCTCATTCTTTTTATTCCACATTCTCATTTGTGAAATAAAGTTTTAGTTAAAGTTGCTTGAATTTGCTTTCCCAATAAGTCAATAACCTCTCTAGCATAACAGTGTGTGGTATGGTATGGTATGGTATGTTAACTTAAAAGCAGTCTCGGTAGAAATATTTTCTCTCTGTGCTGAGAATATACTGAGAATATACTTTTAAGCTATCTTTACTGTTTTTTACCATTTAATTGAGGATATGGGGTGTTTTGTAAGGCACTCATCATATTTTTTGTAGCCATGAGCTAAGTTCCTCATTACAAAATTCTGGAATATGCTTTAGGACACTCTGAAAAAGAGTCTACTAATATTAAAAAGAGTCCTGCACCACAGACATACACATAGTTCATATGAATGTGGCTTGAGGTTGTAATTCTTTGGGTCAAAAATTTAGTTTATTTTGTGTAAAGTTTCTTACTTATTTATATCTTGGACATCTTTTAACAGGTGTCTAACCTTACCTTTTTTTTATTATAGCCAAAGAAATCACATTTCAATATTGTCTCCTTTACTGTGTAGATGGTTAAATTTCAGACTTGTTGAAATTCAGAATTATTTCTTGTTGTTGGGTGAAATCAATGCAAGCATTTCAGGATATACTGCTTAATTTCAGTTGCACCAACATTTTTTAGCAATACAAAGCCTAGTATATTCCTTCAATATGTTGGTTCTGATCTTTTATGAAATGTGTATTACTGACATAGTTTCAGAACAGGCTCACCTGAAGACAATAGTAAAAGGCATGCAAGGTGGCCATTTCTTATTAACCAAGATCACACTAATGATAGTTGGACAAATCTGCCCAGCCCCATCTCAAGGCTACATCATTGAGAGATAGCACATTCCAAATCAATCGCCAGGTAAGCATAAACTCAGACCAGAAAGTGCACAACTCCGATACTGACAAGCCAAACTGGCCACATAGATGATTTGTCACAATCTACTGTAGACCAAATTCTTGCAACTACCTTACAAGAGAATGAACCAAAAGATCTTTCAAGCCTCTACAGAGAGGAAGTAAAGTCAATTGATAAAGAATAAGAGGAAAGATGTAAGTAACACACACTTCAGCTCTGCCCTTTACGGACAACCGCCATTGACACCAAGTCTGAACTGCCACATCGACTGTACTTCGGACCAATTTTTCTCCAGCTATAGGCCAGGCGCAAGCCACACTCCAAGATTGTGGATGGGTATGTCTGTTCAATTAAAGGACCCTGGAAGTGCAACCCCCTTCCAGGCACCTAACAACAAGCTGAAAAAGTTGTGATTAATCTTGGCCCCAATCACATTTTTGTACTGCTCAAGCATCTTATGTACCACCTTAATGTCACTGTGGCATGACACAAAAATGGATACATCATTGACATATGCAGAAACCACGGCTCAAGTGCTTCCAGGGACAGCAATTCTGTGCAGGGTCAGATTGCATGCCTGGTCTCTTAGCCAGTGAAGGAGGGGCTCCAACATCAAAGGGTAAAGCATGGGATGACAGCGGACAACCCTTTCAGACCAACTGTGACAGTGCAAAAGCACACAACCACTTTTCGTTCATCTGTACCACTGGGTGAGTGATAAAGGAGGCTGATCTATTTGCAGAAGTCATGTTTGAATCTGACAACCTGCAGGACAACAGCCAGGTATTGATGGTCAACCCTGTCAAATGCCTTGGACTGATTTAAATTTATCAGTGCAGTTTGATCATCATCTTTTACACCCTCTAGGATTGTGTGGATCAGGTGCAGGTTGCTCTTAAGTTTATCAAGTCAAACTTTTGGCAACTGACTGCAAACTGCAAATAACTCAAGTCCCAGAGACTTGCTACTGCAGACCCTCATGCTCTATAGCCTGCTTGGCTAAGCCTGTCTCTAAGGAATCTCCCCCAGCCTCCACTTTTGACTTGATTTAATCTTTCTTATCAAATCATGAAATGAAAGATTTCTTGAACAGTCACTCTTTTATATCTTTTTGCATGAATGTGTGTGTCCCAAGGTCTCTATCCTTAGACCTATGTTTTCATCGACCTTCCTGATATCATCAATTCTCAACTCCTTATCAATGCTGATGACAACTATTTACTCATCTCTTAATGAGTCTGAACAGTTCAATATTTTCAAAATGGTAGCTGATCTAAAAAATGACATGCAATCTGTTGTTAATTGGGGAAAGAAATGGCTTGTTAATTTTAATGCCCCCCAAAAGTGTTTTTTTTTAATTGTCTTAGAGAACCAGTTTTGCCTTCTATCAACATGGCTGATGCTATCTCTAGGAGAGTGACTCATTGTGCCTTCTCAGGCTAATGTTTCCCACTGACATGAAGTGGAAAGACTATATTGAATCAGTTTCTAGGTCTATTTAATCAATTGCTAGAAAAATTGTTCACTGTGTTGTGCTAGACAATTTTTGTTGCCAGAATCAATTTTACACATTTATAAGTCTACCATTTGTCCATCCTTTGAATATTGCTGCCACATCTAGTCTGGTATTTTTCTATTTAGAGATACATGATAAAATCCAAAGAATTTCCAGTTGTATTGGTCTTGGCCTAGCATCTTGGCTTCAATTGCTTTCCCATTGACATAATATAGCTTCCCTGTGCCTTTTCTATAAATATTTTTATGGAAATTGTTATGAACTTTCTTCTTTGGTACCTCTTCTTTAAGAATTTAGGTACAATACTAGATTGGTAACTAGGTCTCATAATTTTGTAGTTGAAATGGCTAGACATAATTGTAATTTCTATGCTAACAGTTTCTTCTCTTGCACTTCTCATTTGTAGAACTCTCTTCCAGCCTCTTACTTTCCAGTCAACTTCAAAGATTGAAATGCGATGTCAATCATCTTCTGTCTTCTTCCTGTTCTTTTATTTTTCTTAATAATATTTTCTTTTTCTCATATTCTTTCATGCTCAGTAACTCATTGCATTTTAGTGGCTTTATTGTCTGGCTTGAAATGATTTTTTTTTTAAATTTGAGTTTGACTCTAATTCAATTAGCCACTCCCCCATATTTTACTCTTTCTAATATCTCTACTCCTTTACCCAGAATTTAATAATTTTTTCTCCTTCTAATATCTCTACTCCTTTACCCAGAATTTAAGGAGCAGTATTGGTTTGTGGCTAAAATTAATTGGGGTGCTGTTT